GACCAACCATCCAGTTTTAATTCCGACTCATTCTTTCGCCTGTCTTCTCTTGGAGATAAGATCAAGTGTATTTACGTGTTTGAGAAAGTAAACTTCTAGTTCAGTGTGATTTGGGGGCGGTGGTCTAGGAGATACAGCAAATGCAGCTGATGTTTCTTACCGTTCCAAGATCCAGCTCCAGCCCCGTGCCTTGGAAAAAAACTTGCCTATTAACAACAGGAGTAGTTGCTAAATAATGCTGTGTTGCCACCCCTACAGTGCACAGTAGACAGCTGTTATGATGGCTGAAGTTTTTTCGTTGAGGTCTGTCGTTTTGACACAAGCACCGAGTTTTGTTACCGCAGTTCCTGTTTTCCACAGGGTCAGCGTGCGTGAAAGGGATGCAGTGACTCAGGGTCAGGCCAGCCATATTTGTTTTAGGTTTTAATTTTCTCTTTGAAGACTTAAGGGTACATAGTCTTTTCTTGGTGTGCCTGCATAATGCCGATTAGCCTTAACGGGAGTTGGGTACATCCAGGAAAGAATAGGCCCTTTTGTTTGTTAGAAACCCAGAAACAGCATGAATCCATCATCCAATCAATCAGAGTACCAGGGCTCTCCCTCACCTGCCGGCAGGGACACATCCAGCTTCTCTTGCTGCGGGGCAGCTGTTCTCGACCGAGTGTGGCCTCTTTTGCTCCCTCACCTTCCTCCTCCTGGCATCCGTATTTGGAACTGAATTCGTATCATGTAGTTGGGAAAACACTCTTAAAGTACAATTGAGTAAATTTTTATTCTGCTCTCATTTCACAGACAGCTTCTAGTAGTCAAACTGTTGTTTGCTCATCAGAAGTGAGTATTTATGTAGCCACTTTTACACATTTTGATAACTAATGACTCTAAATATATATATATATATGTATGTGGCTTGGTATTAAGACAGAATAGAGCAGGGTGTTTGCTGACTGTTTTTTCTGGGGTTTTTTGTTTGTTTGTTTTTTCACCTGGACTTGGGTGTTTGAAGCTTTAGTTGCGGATTTCAGTGTAATGAAGCATCTTATTCTGACTCAGCTCACCCAGGTTGTGTGTCCATTCTTAACTCTTCACAATACTCAGTGACCCTCTGACCAAATGGCTTTTCTTTTTGATTCTGAGGATGAGGAGATACTTGGAAGTTTCAAAACTGGAAAAACTTAATCTCTTTGTTATCCATTAGTAATATCTGTAATCTCCTTTGGTACCAAAGGCAAGTGCAGTGTTTCCCAAGGCATAGAAACACTGACTTCTGTAGTGCTTTCCTCACTCCTTAAGGATTTTATAATTTTGCATGTGTTGAAGTCATACTACAGTCATAGCAGTAGCTTGACTTTAGTTTGTGAAACTTTCTTGAGGAGAAACAATTTGAGTTGCTCTCAGTTGGATTTCTCATTTAAATAAAAACTGTCGATGTACTTAACACTGTATAGATTAAAAACATATAGATAAATCCCTTTGGTTATATTCATTATCCCTTGTAAAAGTAGGTGGTGCTTAGAAGGTCATAGGATAAGTGTTGCTAAGCAGCTAAACAGAAGGATGCTAAAATTAACCTGAGTGTTTTTGAAAGGGATTCACTTTTTAAGTTGCAATAATTTTTTTATTGACTTAAAATACGTGTTTTGCTAGTAAGACATCTGAAAAAAAATACTTAGATGCATGAATAAAGCTTTCCAGGGGACTGTGTCAAGTGTTCAGGTTATCTGCATACAGGAGTAATTCTACCCTCCCCCAATATGCCTAAATTTTACTTGATTTGTGCCCTTTGTAAATGTCCTTCCAGAGTTATCTGTTGCTCCAAGAGCATCTGATGTATGTTGGATAGCAGCCTGTAGGGACAGTCTTGGGAAAAAAACTGCAAAGGTTCCCCAGGAACAGACAGAAAACAAGTAAATCCTGTTAGTCTGAAATCTGTGCATGTGCGGAAAAAGCCCCTTTTAACTTTTTGATGAATGATGCCTAAGTTTGGAAATCTGTGTTTTAGGTGTACACTCTTTAAAACATGTGAAATCATGTCTTCTTCTTT